CAAAACTTCCAACACAATGAAACTCAAAGGCTGATCAAAGAATCCAACCCCACCAAAGATTTAGAAAAGATGGGTTTGTTTTGTTTTGTTTTGTTTCAAATCTTCTGTCGAGCTAATGAAATAATTGTCCTTTTACTGACAAAGCCAAATAATGTTCAGTCTACATTTTTTCATAGCTTCTCATATTTATTAAATATCTGTTGTGTACTAGGTATGGGGAGTCCAGGTAAATAATTGAGGCATTTTTTGCCTAGTCTCAGGGGGATTCTAGTACAGTTAGGAAACAGATGCCTAAAGTAATAATAATTACAAAACCACAAATTACAATATCTCCTACTTAAACTTATGAGAACATCTGTGGGAGATATGATTCTCACATGAGCTGATCTTACTCTTCCAGCAAAGTTTCTGAGCCCTGCCTGAGAAAATGTCGGAGCTGTACTCAAAGTGAGCATCCAGCAAGGAAAGGGACATGCAGAAAGAGCGGGGAGTGGGGGTGAGCCCTAGAACAGCAGCACAAAGCAAATAAGAGGCAAAACCTGCATGAGAAAAGTACATGATGAAAGATTCCATAAATCTCAATGTCAGTCAACCAGATGATAGAAAGAGGGAGGACAAGGAAAGATAGAATTTACACAACATTTTAATGTTATAGTTCACTGCAGAATGTTGACAGGGGAGCATAATACTGAATGTTACAATGGTATGTCACCACAACAAAGGAGACTCTATGAGAAAATCATCTAAAATGGGACCTAGTGACAGGAAGACTCTTGCTACCCTTATTTTACCTTCTTGGCACTACTAATCCAGAGCAATAGTACTGAAGTTCTGAGAGTCAATAGGTACATTATGTTTAAACACAACAGGGCTTTCTCTCTCTGTGTGTCTTCTTGCTAGCCTTCACACAAATTCAAGGTGATGGATAAAGTCATATTTTTGCCCACAATAAATACTGTGGAAATACACAGCCACCTGACACTGGGAAAGATGAAGAGCAGGCCACACTAGAGTGTGAACCAAAGTTCAAAGGGAAGGTGAGCTTTGGGTTGATCTTTGAAGGCTGGAAGCACAGTAGGGAAAAGTAAAATGTTAAAAGTATTTGCCTGCGTTTGCACCAGCTCTACTATGTACGTGCTGGGAAACACTGGACTAGGCATCAAACCTCTTCTGTCTCAATTTCCTGGTCAATAAAAGCAGAAAAAATAAAATGCCTATCTCATAAAGTTGTTTCAAGGATTAGAGGTGCTGAGGCATTACAGCTCAGCACAGTGCCTAGCAAATGGCAAACTTGTTAAGGTTAGTAATTGTTTTTATTCTTATACAGATTAACATAAAAAAAAGAGGCTAGTGTAGGTGGCACAAACTGTATGTGAAAATTGTGTAGAATGAAAATATAATCTGTAAAATGCAGAAAAGGGACCAGACAGACTAGTAGAGGAACTATATTGAGATTAGTAAATCACCCTGTTGAAACTACATCCAACAGTAATTTTAAAGTCATAAAAGTATCAGTAAGTACTAGTGAGTCATTGTCAGCTCTTGAGTGGGATAGCAACATGGAGAGAAATAGAGCTTGTGCATTCACACAACATGCACTGCATGCTTATTATGCCTTATTAAGTATTTGGAGCCCAGTAGGAGCTAGTTTGGTAGGTAGAAAATTAGGAGTTTGGAGAGCTTATGGATAAAGGAATGGCTGGATAAGTGGAAAATAATTTAAAACCTTTAAGCCTCTTACATATCTCCTGTGTTTATTCTTAAGTATGCTTCTCCTAAGTGTCTTTTTCCAAAGAATGAGAAACTCAAGAAATTGCCCCAGGTATCCACAAATCCAGGGTATTATAGTGCTTGCTCCAAGTGAAATTACTGATAATATGTCATAGGATGATAACAGTGATAATGTCATAAGATGTCAATAATTACTAATAGCAATACAGAATATATCAAGGAAATAAGAGTAAAGATAATGAAAAAAAGAATAAGGACCTTGGGTACATTTAGTTGGCAAATGTAAGGACCAAGAAAAGTCAAAAGAGTATTGGTCAGAAAAGAAAAAAAAACGTAAGTACACACTCTTACAGAAAAATGGGAATAAAACATTATTTTAAAGATGGAAGGGAAAATATATATCATATATATCAAATAAATTAAAAAGGATAGGAATTGAAAGGTCACACTGCATTTGGGAAAGAATGGAGGGAATTGTTAAGTTTTCAGTTTCATAAAACTGAGGGAGCCATGAAAACAACTAATAGAATAACAATACTGATTTGTGACATTGCTTGAAAACTATCTTTCAATAACTCCCTCTTCCAGGGAACTGTTCATCGCAAGACCTGAGTGTCCTCCTTTTCCATTTTGTCCCAGTTTCTCATCTCATTCTCCCACTTATGGCCAAGAAGCTAGACTAGCTAGATCCTGAGACCAAATTCATCACAACTGGTACATACACGAGACACTTAACAAGTTTAATGAATTGACCAAAAGGAAATCTTAACTTGAAAAGATACTTATGTTATCTTTGATATTCCTTTTATTGTTTTGCAGATGACTGCTTGTTTTAGTCATGAAAAGACTGCCAAACTGCAACAACATGAATTTTATCTTGATTGTACCATCTATATACCTACCATAATTGTATGGAAATAAATGTGGGTAACAGGTTTTCCAGGTGTTGGAAACCTACAGGGGAGTTCTTGTCCAGGAGCACTAGAACACTGAATCCACTCTTTCTGTCCCTTTATCCTTGACTCCCTAAGGAAACAGTTTCACTAATGGCATGTTTCTTTCATGAAACTAGGAGAGCCTAACGTCTTTAATCATTCCTTTAAATGGAGGCATGTAGATTACATAATGTTAATTTTTCTGGAATGGTGACACAACCCTGAGAACAGAAAGGTGGTGGCTTAGCAAGAATTAAACATCCTAAAACCAGTGAGACCCTCTTTCGCAAAGACAACTATGTTCTGTGTTAGAAGATCTGAAATCAAGAGAAACTACAGTAGTATAGGTTGCATTTTCTCTTGTCATATGCAGTCACACTACCTGATATCCTTGTGGACTCTGTGCTTTGCCAGTTGGGTGACTTGTTTGACCAAGAAGATACAATATAATATGTGATATAAGCAGAGGCTGACATGTTTATTCTTGTTCTACTGAAACACTGCCAGCTGCCATGTGAAGAAATCTGGCTAGGCTCCTTGAATATAAATGCTTTATTTGCATTTATATGTAATATATATCATAAGATCATACATTAAAACCCAGCCAACCATCACAATTGTAAGAATTATGCTTTTTTGGTTTAAAAGCACTAAATTTGGAGAAGGCTTGCTAGCCAGCAACAGACAACTAATAGAGAAGTGGCTCCTTCACTTCTGATATTTTGCATCTCTAGCAATTGCACTGAGAATTTTCTGTGGGGAAATGTATCTCATTTTGCCATAAATTCATAAACCTCCACAAATACTCTAGTAGTTGCCCAAATGGATTTTCCTTTAAGAAAAACTGTGATGAAATTCCACAAGATATTAAGGATGCCTCAGTCTTCCACTCACTTGAGATATTTTTAACAATGATCTATATATTTTATGCAACATATTCTTCTAGACATTGCAAATATAAAAATGAGTGAGACTTTACATTTTAGTGGGAGAGGCATTTTTAACAACGAACAAATGTGTGAAGGAGATAATTTCAGATAGTGCTAACTGCTATGGAGAAAATAAAAGTGATTAAATATAGAGAAACTAGTGAATAAGGGAAAGTTAGGTAAGCTAGCATGATCAGGGGAGATGTTTTTGAGGAGTCAGTCTTTGAATTTAGATCTGCATAAAGAGAAAGAGGCTAGCCATGGGATTTTCTGGTGGATGGCCATTTCAGGAAGATGGAATAATAAAAAGCAAAAGACTGGAGAGAATAGTGAATTCAGTGTGTAAAGAAATAGGAGGTCAGAGTGGTGGCTGGAGAAAATGAGGGATCAGTAATGTTGGATGAAATGAGGTAAAAAGAGGAGGCAGAGATTGGTTAATATGAGATTATATAATAATACATCTGATGTATACAACTAGTATATCTATAAATTATATATATTTATGTATTGATTATACTATACATGCATATAACTAGTATATCTACATATATATGTATTTATGTGTTGATAATACATATACATAGAAAGATAGGGAGAAAAAGACACAAGCACATAGAGAGAATTTTAAGCATTTTTAAAACTAGATAAGAGAGAACACATATAAATTCCATTTACTGAGCTGTCACCATATGACAGTCAATCTACAAATGTCTTACCTAAATTATTTTATTTGTGTATCATAATGACACCATAAAGTATTATCATTATCCTTTTTTAACAGATAGGAAAACTCAGAAAGTGTAAACAAATTTTCTTAAGTCATGTGCTCAGCCCCAGATCCACTTCTCCAAATCAGGTTTATCTGACTCAACACATATGCAAATAAATAGTAGCACATCCTTTTTCATTAATTGCAAACATTTTCATTTGCTCCCTTCTGGAAGAGTTCCCAAGTAGTGTAAATCACCAAATGTTGATGTGGTTCTCTATGACTTTAGGGAACGAAGTGGTATCACAGACATGTTTTATGTCAATTATAACAAAGGTGAAAGGAACAACATATCAATTTCAGAGCTGTAGTCACTGAGCATGTGGGTCTATTGATACATGAAAACCTGCCAGTAACCTAACAGATTTGGCTGACCTGGTGGAGCCATGATCCCAAATATCCCTGACTCTTTTTCACCAAGGGAATGAAGGAAGCCTAAATTAACCCAATGTAGGTTAATCTATTTTGGACCAGAAGACAGAAATTTGGTAATAAATATATTTTGAGTTCTCTGAATGACAAATAGTAGAAGTAGATCTAAAAAGTCCTTGAGAAACTAACGAGAATACTAAGTTTATTATCTTAGACTTGTATACACAATATAAAAATCATTACAAACCACTTAGGAAAGGGAGTATTATGTGTTATCGATTACATATGGATTTTATGAGGATTATTCAATTTTAATCTCTCCACAAACTATGAAGAAATTGTTATTCATTATAAAAATGCTTTGTGATTCAATGAGGTTAATTGGTTTAAAGTCAAAGACCCAGCACTTAGTAGTCAAAAACCTAAGTTTTCTTGAATCCAAATCGTATAAATTTTCATTTTTATCATTTTATTGAATAAACTCTATTGACTGACATAAGAGTAGAGTTTTTTCTCACCATTCTTTTATTAATAGTAAAAAGTACAATCATAACAAAATGTGATTATAATTTAAAATATAAGGAAGACAGTACTAATTATTAATTTATTGTATCTTGGCTCCAAATTCACCCTGTTTGTCTGCTCTATGAAAATGGATTTGGGCCGTTTTGTCCATTGCCAGGTGGCACAATTGTGAGTAAAACTGCAATATTTCCAGAATCTCTCTCCTGGAGTTAGTGCATCTCCGTATCAACAGGCATTTCCAAGGGGTGGGGAGAAGTAGTCCATCTCCATATCAATGGGTATTTACCTGGGCCACTGAGGGCTTATCTGGACCTGAGAGGTTGGGAGAAGGATTCACTAGCTTGTGCCATGGCAGGAAAGAGAGAGACACCACATGGCTTTTTGTAAGCAATAAACAGGTTTTAAACTTTATTTCTACCTTTGACTGATTTGGGTTTCAGCTGGGTATTTTACCCCCAGATTTCCTTTCCCTGGAGTTACACACAATTAAGCTTTGTCAGTAGAAGGCGATGGTGAGACAATGAAGGAAGAAAGGGTTTGCTTTCTGGTTTAGGTATTTGCACTAGGAAGGCCCTGCAGTGTTTGGTTCCAGCACTGGACTCTCACAGTGAGAGAGTGGTCTTCAGCCTCAGGCCCCTGCCACTTCCCCAGTGCACAGCTCCAGCAGTGCATGGCAGGCAGTGACACCCAGGTTCCAGAAGTTTCCCTATCACCTCTAGAAGGTTTTGCTGCAGAGTGCCTCTTGTGAGATATTTCCCTGTGAATATGTTTACCAGTATCCTAGAGGGCTGATCTCCTATATGTTCCAGAGGGCAGATTTCCAGCTAGTCCTGTTGGAGTGGCACCACAAGCCTTTTCTGTCACCAGTGAGCCAAGACTGTGCCCTCTACAGGAAGGTCTTGATCTGAGCCCTGGGCAGGGTGTGGAGGGGCCTCTTTCTAGGGATAAAGTCTTTCTCTTATAATTTGTTCTTCCTATGTTCTTAGATTTTTCCCTTCTTACTAGTGAATATGCCATTACTTCAATCACCTGTTATAGTCAATAATTTTTCACAGTACACCTTCCCTTCTCAACTTAACTGGGTGGTTTCTGTGTCCTGATTCAACTCATACTAATAGAGATCAATATAGTCTTTAAAAAAAATTGTATTGTGAATGCAGCTTTAAGTTACCTTTCTAAATAAAGGATGTAGATTGTTACTAAGTATTGTCCTAGGTGTCATAGTCATGTTTTAATTTACTCACCAAATATTTATTGTGTACATTATGAGTGCTACAGATAAAAGATAACTACGCTATACTCTGAAACTCAAAGAAGGACACAGTTTTATCCCCAGATAACAATTATGTATTGTCAATAAATACAACAGACAAGGCATGCAATTGTTATGGAACTCAGTGATACAGGTTTTATAGCTGTCTTGTTAAAGCAGTCACCTGCAGGACATAGAAGGTAAGCTGGAGTAGTGGACAAGCAAAGTTTGTGGCAAAATATCTGGGTTCTAGCACCTTCCTTCATGTACTTAGGTAAGTCTCATTATTCTTTTGGCTCCTTACTAGTTAAGTTGCAGATAATATATTGAGAAAACTAAATTTAATGTGATATCATACTACACAGATATTACCTACCACAGTGTCTGGCTGCATATTTAATATATGTTAGAAAGCTTAACGTTCCCTCTTAGTATAACAAATTTGTGAGAAACAAACAAAAAATAATGATAATAATATACCTGAAAGTACTTTGTACAGTATAAAGTAATATATGTGAAGAAAAACAGCAGCTATTCCATATTAAATATTAAATAAGATGCATTTAGCCCAAGCATGTGGGCAGGACAAGTGCAGGGGACAGATGATATCACGATAACCTGGTAACTGTCACATGATGAGTTGAAGTGTCATGACAGAAAAGAGGTTAAAGGGAGAATTTGTTCAAGGCACATTGAAGGACAACTTCAAAGACAGGATAGAGATGTGAGTGGCTGGGAAAAAACAGCATAGCAGACAGTTCAACCTGGCATTTGGCAATCAGTGATGGGGACTGTTTGAGAACAAGGACTCTGAAGAGAACATGAGGCAGAGGCATAAATAGTGCCAGGCTCTGCAAATAACAGCTGCAGCTGCAAACTCATGTGCACTGTGTGGAAAAGACTATACATCACATGTCAGTCTCTCAGATACATGTGCACTGGCTACTACCATCACTGGTTCTACCCTTAACATGCATCAGAGGAGCAGTAACATGCTTCTTATTATGTGCCGATGACATTATTTTCAATGATTTTTTTTTAAAGTGATTTAATTTAATATTAAACATTTTGAATAAAACTTGAATAATGATTAAACTTCTGTTAGTCTTTTTTTTGGGAATCAAGAAATGTGTTACTTATTAAATAAATATGTGATTTAACCTTGTTTCTCTACTTTTGATGAAATCCTAAATATTAATCTGTAGATGAGCTAGTTACATATATACATTTTCAAATTTGGCAAGTCTCACTTTCATGAAAAAAATACGATTTTCTACTATTTAAGAAAGAGCAATACAGTGGAAATGGTTTTCCTGAATAATATAATGTGGGATTTTTATAAAAATCACAAGCAATTTAGGTTAATACCGAATCCCTTCTTCCTTTGATATCTAGTGCACTAAAACAGCATTCTGAAATGTCACTCAAGAATTCCTAATCAACCTATTCAATGTCCTGTTGCTACTCATCCCTAACTTTCTGCTATATTTAACATTCTTGACATCTATCATCTATGCTCTACCCACTCCTCCAACTCCTTTGACTTATGGTATACAACCTTTGATGTTAACTTTACCTCATATCCCTAGACACAGTGCCTAAAACAAAGCTTTCATGCTAAATATTGGGGGGTATTATTCTTGATCAAAAAGAGTTAGGGGGAAAATTAAGTGATGTAGAGAATGAAGGTAAAGCAAAGCCAGGAAATGTTTTACCAAGCTGACCACAGCTTCACATGTTAACACAGCTGCTACTCCACCATGTTGGATGTCTCCGTGCAGGCCCTACAGAACTTCTTCAGCTTGGAGAGATCTATCAGACATGTAGAAGATTCATCCTGTTTCTTACCTCTAATTAATAAATTTGTCCCATGGAGATATTATAATGGCCACGTGTCTGGCTGATGCTGTTGTGCTCTTCCTAGCAGATGCTAGCAAAGCCTGGTCCCACACCTCAGTGGTTCTTTACTTGAGTCCAGAAGTGATGGAGAAATTTCTGCAGGTCAAGTTGAGCCTGCATGCTGGACCTGTTCCAACTCCTTGCATGATGACTGAGGTGAAGCTGTGTCACAGGCTGGCCCTCATTTTGGGAGAGGCTAAAACAGCAGATGATATTAGGAAATGAGGCAGTGATGGTGGTGGCCAGGACCCTCTTTTAAGCAAATGGCCAGAGGTCTAGAGGTAAGTGGATCTTGAAACTTGAAGAAAAGAGGAGGAAGTTATATAAATTTGGTCTAATTCAGATGTATACTCTGTACTTTTTTTCTCTAAAAGGCTTATCAACTTCTAAGGTTTAAATTCTCATGCCCATATAAAAGCAAAACAAACAAATAGACAACAAAGGAACAACTACTATCAAACCTATGTACTGAACCTTAAAATTTCTAATTGCTTGAAATTTCTATGAGAGTATTTCATCAGCCTTGTGACTTCCACAAATTACTCAATACACCAATTTGTGAAATAGTCACAATAACACCTTCAGAAATGCTTTCATTATTAAATGGCTGTTGATATGAAATAAAGTTGCAAACATCAAATAAGATCATATATATATAGAATAATAGCACAGGGCAAGGGCACATTATGTACTCAATAAATGCTAATTTCTTATACTCTCATATTCTCTTCTTTGGAATGTGTTTTTGCAAATACAAAAGTCTTCCTAGCTCATACAGAGAAATTTATATTTTTATATTTTAATCATACCCCTAACTAAATAATCAACATTAAGAAATAATCTCTAGCATTTTTTATTTAAAATCTTAATGCATTTGACAAATAACCCTGTTATTGTAGTACCACAGGTGGGACAGTGTACTTTGACTTTCAAAGCAACACAATTTTTAGAATATGTTTTTATTGGTAGATTTATCACAATCTCTAATAGTTGTTTAAATGGCATTTTATGTAAGAACTAAGGAAGATATTGAAGAGAGGAATTAAGCTCCTGTTATAAGTGCTTTGTTTTCCATTCAACCCTCAGAAATAGAGCCTGTGAAAATAGACTCTTTTCAAAGACACAAGGAATGGCTGATTTGAACCAGCTGTTGTTACAAGTGTTTTTTCATTACAAATAAGTAAATATGAATAAAAATTGGGAAATATATCTCTGAAACATTTAAGTCAATTTTGATTTAACTAATTCTAGTTTTAAAGGATTTTTGCTTGTTATTTCCTTGATTATTTGAGACTGTCTCTCTAATCTAGGAAAAAATATTATTTGAATAAATTCATTGTCTCTTTTTAAACTATATGTCAAACAAATGTATATGAATTTATTATCATATTAACCAGTACTATTTGAAAAATAACCAATTGAACCTGTCAATAATAAGATTCTGAACAAATGAAACAAAAAACAGGATAGCTACACAGCATGTTAGACATAGCTGAAGACTTAAATAGTGATGTGAAAGACAGATAAACAAAATACTTAGAGCATAGCAAGAGATATAAAAAAAACAGTTAAAACTAGAGGGAACATTATGTAAATAGAGAATAGATTTAAAATGACTAACGTATATCTAATCAGAGTTCTTAAGATAACAGAGAAAATAGAGGTAAGCTATTTCAAGAGATTATGGCCAAAAATTTTTCAGAATTTGTGAATGATATTAAATCATGAATTGAGGAAAACTTATAAAACCCAAATATTGTTCAATAAAGAAACCCACACTAAGACAAATTATGATCAAACTTCTAGAATCCAAAGACAAAGAAAGAAAATCTGAAGATTTTAAAATCAATCTAAAGATAAAGATAGATATCCAACAGAAGAATGGAAATTAGACTGAGAAGCCTTCTTTACAACAATGCATATTAGAAAGTTGGAGACTAAGAGAAAAATAACTGTCATTAAAAACTGTGGAACATGTGAAATAAATTTTCATGAATGATGTCAAAATATTAAGATTCTTCAGAATGACAAAATTGAAAAGAATCTAAAGAGACTTCTAAAGTGTATATTTCAGAGAGATAGAAAATTAACTCAAGACCATTCTGAGAAACAAAAAGGGATATTAGCAAAAATAATAATAACCTGATAAATCTGAATAAACATTGACTGTTTAAAACAAGAACAGTAATATTTAATATTTATTTTTATGATAAAAAAATCATGATAAAAAAAATCCTATGCACAAAAGCATTAAATTCGGGAGTTAAACAGAATCAAGGTATTCGAAGTCCTTGGATTATATCATAAAGTGTATGAAACTGATTAATATTAAATTTAGTTAAATATTCATGTTAACATTTTCAGCAAAACTGCTGATAGAAAAAACATATACTATTAGAATAGAAGTATTAAGGAAAGGGAATTAGGGAAATATTCAACTTAAAATAATAAACAAAAAATAAAAAATACATATTAGGACAAGTAGATATTAGAATGGCTAAAATCAGTGCAAATATACAGTCATTATAATCAGTGTAAATGAACAAAACTCTGCTTAAGATACAAAGAATATCAGTCAATTTAAGGACATAAAAAGGCTGTGTGTATATTTCTCACCCATCTGACATCACGCTAATTTACCTTGCTTGACCCAGCTGAATCTGACTGAAAGTGATAATATATGTACTTGAGCCAAAGCTTGAAAAGTAGTCATATTAAACAACCATTACTTTTGCCCCCTGCCATAACAATTAGTCCTTTAAACTAGATCCCAAAGTGAAGTGACACACAGAGCGGAGCCTTGTAGTCAGACTATAGTTATGTGGCAAGTCAATAAGTAATGTGAAGGAAAAATAAACCTTCGTGTGGTAAATAACTGGGATTTGGGTGCTGCTATGATACATAAACTGCAGGTATTACTATATAAAAGTTAATATTTGCAAGTGGGATATTGTTATGGACTGAACTGTATCCCTCCCAAATCCATATATTGAAGCCCTGTATATTAATTCCAAAGTGATTTTTTTGAGATGGCATCTTTGGGAGGGAATGAGGGTTAAATGAGGTCATAAGGATGAGGCCCTAATCCAGTGGGATTGATGTTCTTAGAAAAGGAATAAGAAGCTGGTAGAGGGCTCTCTCTTCTTCCCCGTGGGCACACAGGAAAGGCCATGTGAGGACCCAGTGAGAAGTGTCTCTTTATAAGCCAGGAAGAGAGGCATTACCAGAAAGTGCATTTCCACAACGTCGATCGTGGACTTCCATACTCCAGAAATGTGAGAAAATAAATTTCTGTTGGACAAACTCTTGTTAATATTTTGTTATGGCAGTCAAAGCTGATCAATGCAGTTGCTATTATAACATAAATTATCATGCATGGGCTTCAAGGCTAGGTAGCAAGAGGTGAGGACATAATTATTGGGGCTGGGAGAGAATATTTGTTACAAATGCCTCGTGCAATAATGGAGATAGAAAAATGGATCATTTAACTTGGCTTTAGGGGAAGTGCTGAGAAACATAATGCTATAGTCATGCTCTAGTTGCTATTGTCTACATTCAACCAGTACCAAGAGAAAGAATTACTGGAAAATATAAAGAAAAAAAGAAAATCCAGAAATTCTGGAAAAGAATGTAACTGCTACTCATGTCCAACCTGAAAAATGCTTTAAGCATGAATGTTGATCAAGACTTACCCTGGTAAAAAGATTATAGCCATGCTGAGCCTGTCACACTTTTTTGTTAAAATCTATGAAAGGATTATGCTGACTTCTCATCAGTTATTTTAGTTGCAAAAAAATGGTTCAGGAACAAGAGATTAAAAATAGTACTCTTCCATGGATGCCTGTATATTCAGTGGACCTGTAATCATGTTTAAAAAGAGAAACACATCTTGAAAAATATGGATGAAATCACTGGTACATGGGACAAACTGCAATCAAATACATAAAGGGTCAAAATTAGTTTTTTTAAGAGAGTTGCAGTGTGTTGAGTCACCAAACTGGATGGTAAATATCAAGTCTTAATAATTTTACAGAGAAGTTCTATAAAAGATTCAAGGCACTAAGAGTTGAATCTTAAACAATGTGTTCAAAAAAACTACCAAGAATGAAGATTTCCCAATTTATTTTATGAGGGTAATATAACTGAGATACTAAAATCACATGCGGGCAATATGAGAAAAAAATAAAATGACATATGAACTCAGAATAAATAATCCTAAATAAAATATAGCAATCTGAAATATGAATCTTTCAATGAATCAAAATTAAAGTTAAAACTGAGTTAAGTTTAATACAGAAATCAAAATTGCTACATCATTAGAAAACCTAGCAATGTAATTTATTTGACTACAGGAAGAAAGCTATATCATTTTCTCAATAAATGCAGAAATTATTCAACATAATTTGCCAGTCATTCATTAGTCAAAAAAACTTCTAAAATGTGAATAAAAAATTACTTAATTTGAAAGGAGTAGTTAATAAAAAAATCATGTCAATGGCAAATGTTTAGAGCATCATGAATTTTCAAAAAAATGCTTATTAATAGTTCCTCTATTTAGCATTATGCAGACCATCTCAACCAGTTAAATAAGAAAGTAAAATAGAAGTTTTAAGTACTGGAAAGGAGAATATAAAAGTATCATTATTTGTAGGAGAAATAGTTGTCTAAATAGATGACCCAAAAGAATTTACAGAAAAATGCTAATCAATCAATGAGTTTATCTGAAATATAAGATCTAGATGTAAGAGCAACTAAAAATTAATCACCTTTCTATACATCAACCACAAAAAAATATATATATATATATATAGCATGAACATGCTTACCAACCAGGGTAGGGTGCCCCACTCTTTTTCTCCATAAATGCTTAGAAGGTCTATAGTATGTGTCACAGAAGAGATAAAGAAACTGAAACTTTAGAAGGCTAGAAACCCAAAACAGGAAGGAAAAAAAAAAACAGTGGGGGTAGTGCAGGCAGAGCCACAGCAGCTAATTCCCCAGGCCTGGGCTGTGGGCCCAGCACCCTTCCCCTGTTTTACCCTGCTACTTATGGCCCTATCACACCAAAGCCTAACCCTCACGGTAGTAGGGGAAACATCCACAGTATCCCTGTGATGCATCAAAGAACTAGTTCAAACCCAACTTGCCTGGGGTCCTTAAACGGTATGAACAATTCCATGCAGGAAGGTCTCTAACACTGACAACACTGATTTAAGGCTCACCCAGAGGAAGAAATATATATATATATAAGATCAAGGTATCAGTTTGAAGAGAACCTTCCCGACTGTATATACAGTGGGTGGGGAGAGGGATGTAACAAAAAAATCTGGATTTTTAAAATAATAATAATAACACATACATATGCATTGAATTAAGTTGAAGTAAAGTTTCATAATTTGACCCAGGTGGAAATGCAAAATTTACTAAAAGAACTTATATAACAAGAAGATGCAAAGGACACTGGCTGGCTTTTGTGCCTTCACAATGTAGGTTTTAAATTGCTATTAACATTTGTTAAAATGTACTAAATGGCAAAGCATCATGGATGTAAACAATACAGTTTATACCTGGAACACCCACTTAATGTAAACAAGGCCTCTCCTACAATCTTAGAAGAAGGACTAAATATAAAAGAGGAAAAGTAGGTATTCCTCATTTTAACTACAGTCTTGCCTAAATTTCCCAGTCATAGTACCCATTGTCCTCAAGTGTCCCAGAGTGGGAATAGATGCTTTGACTCAATAAATAAAAAATTTTAATTAATTTAATTGTTTTGCATTTACAAATTAGCTTGACAAAATGTGAACTGTAGACTCCACCCCTCCACCCTGCAGTTAAAATAGTTGATACATAAGTTTAACAGGGCTTTAAGGATTGAAATTTATTATACAAGATCTAGTTAATGAGAGGGTGATTATCCCCACTGCTTCTCCATTTGGCAGCTCAATTTTGCTTGTTTTCAAACCTGAAAAGAATGAATGGCGCATCATGGTCAACTACAAACTTAATGCTGTGGCCCATCTATCATGGCCCGTTTACCCAATACACGTTATTATTATATGATATGACTTGCTCCATCCAATCAGCAACCAAATTGTTATTACATGTTTGTGTTATATGACTTATCACTCATTTACTCAGTGCCTATGTCAACATCCTGTCAGCAGCAGTTTGCCTTCCCCTCCCAAGGGACCCAATCCACCTTTACCAGGCTGCCCAGGGGAACACCTCAACAGTTTTGTCATTGTATATAGTCTTTCCAGACCAGATCGTAACTGTACTGCATCCATCTTTCTCTAGGAGCACAGGTAAAACATTATATTGATGACCTGCTCCTCTGAGAAGATTGATTTGATATACTCATTAAGGACATAGAAGTCCAACATCTTTAAGTGCTTTTTGGATTCTGGAAGCTACATATTTTTCCATTTACAAATTTTACCTAATCTCACTAATGCTGCTATTTACAAATAGCACAGCTTAAATAGTGCTTCCCTGTCAAGAAAAGACTGAAATCTGCACAAATTAAAACAAAGGTATTAACACCTATGCTATTACCTTTCACAGTAGAGGGTTAGCAACTTCCTCATATGACTCCTGGAGTCTCTGGACCACCTGTTGGCCATAACTTGTCCATAGAATTCTGATGCAAGGAACCATCCTACTCAGCCCTGTATTATAAGTCATTAGAACAGCAATTGCTGGCCACACCCTGAGATATCTTGGAAACAGAGGCTCTCACAGACCCACACCCATTATACCTTGAATCATAGAAACATCCCTACAGTCTCAGCACAGTTACAGAGGTTCCCTGGTATAAGCGACCCAAACCTGGGCCTTCTGTCATATTCCACCTAGAGCAGGGGATGTCTTTCTCTGCCTTCAGTGCCTTGACAGATGCCAGGGTGCAGGAGAAGGACCCTCTTCTTCCGGACACCGTAGTCACCTGGAGAACACCATGGGATCCACTGAGTGAACAGTGACGGAAGTTCACACACTGTACGGATGTATGGATGGCACTGCCACCATCACAATTGATGGAGCTCAGTGGAATGTTATTGCTCTCCATCCTTTAATCAGCATGTCTCTGATAAGATGGGACACAAAGGCCAGCTAATTGGTGTAACTTTCAGCAGTCATCTTAACACTGGATGTTTTAACATCTGCATGTTCGTGAAAACTCTTACACCATGTCTAAGACTTGTCTCCTTCTGGCTAAAGATCTCTGAAAATTCCTTGCCTCATGGATAAAATATAAATATAAATCAAGGTCACACATGTCTGTTCATAAACTAAGGCAACAATATAAGACCTCATCAGGACACTCCTAATCCCCTTTGAAGTTCACGACACTGCTGGTAGTGATCAAGGCAAACACTTCAGTTCTCAGAATATCACACACCAGTTTTTTTAAAAAACCTCACTATATGTATTTAAAGGTAGATATGTCTCACCTCTATGTATATGAAGACTAATTATATATGAGTACCTTTAATAATGTCTTCCTCTATGTATATAGATTTTTTATCCTCACCCATCTCTGAAAGTCTGGAAGCCAGATGGAGGACATACTAACTGGTTTTCCCACGGACCAGCCATCTGCTCTTCTGGTACAGGACCTTTTGGAGCCTGACCTTCTACAACCCAGAACATAATTAGTATTTGTGTTATAAGGAGTGGAAATGAAAATTAGTTGTCCAAGGCCATTTCACAGACAGTGTGGACAACCAAGAAGGGAGATTAAAAAATCTACTTAGCAATTAAAAATCACATTTGGGGAAAATGATGAAAAATCAACACAATAAGTCCATAATGATGAAACCAGACAATCCCTCATTTGTAATAATGTTGTTGATTTGCCAGGAGCAAATCAACATAAGAAAATAAGGATCCATTAAGGGCAGCTATCCACCTTTCTGTGATCATGATCTCCATAACATTTGTTTGTGTGTTTTCACTGGTTCATAGTCCAGAAGCCCAAGCCTTCTACGTAAGCCATTGTTTCAATCAAACATGGCAAATGCTGAGGCCCTCATGCCACTGATTTTCACTATGTTAAGTCCAGGAGCCCAAAGACCTCACTGGCTTGCCTGTCATCAATTGAACCAGGAATGGAGACAAAGATCCCATAATAATTGGTTAAATTGGAAGGGACTGCCTACAGAGGTTGAATCCCCAGACTCAGCTACAGACATTTTTATTGGTAAACACCCAGGTACCCTATTAAAAACATGTACCTAAATCAGACCATGTAATTAAAAAAATCAATTTACAGCAGACCCTCTCTCATCACCCATCAAGGCAAAACCTTGAACTGTTGGGAGTTTGTAAATTTGGCCACCTTTAATTAGAGCTTTAATCGTATCAGATAGATTCTAGCACTTTGGTCCATATATGGCAGTATCACTGATTCAGGCACCACTTCTGTCTGCTGTATAAGCATAAAGGCTCTTAACTTAGAAGATATTTTTAAGCCAAGCTCCCAGGTCCAGTGCTACCTTCAAATTCTACAAGGGCTCTGCCTTGTTATAATAGCAGAGAGTAACAAAAACATGACCCACATCAATTCAAGTGGATATCTACTTGGGAAGGATAACTTAGCCCACACCCCAGACACCACCCCAGCCCAAGACCTTGCTGTGGAGATGACTTGATCACCTCAGCAGAATGACTTTTCCCTGACACTGAGACCACCACTGCAGCAACACTCATGGGCTCTCTCTCCTAAGGTGCTGATAGACTGGACAGGGGACATTTCTGGCTTGTCTTCCTTTGATATTAGGGATTCTATCACATTTCCTGAGCTTGCTGTTGCTTAGTGCATGATCCTGGCATGCTCCTTGCTCTCTGCCAAACTATATACTCCTGCACACATGTGCCAAGGAAAATATTACAGAACCTATCACTACATGTGTCATGCTAAAAACCAAAGGAGATTATTGCTTCCCCAGGAAGCTATTACTGCTTCTTATTAGTCCAGCCCTTAACACCCTGAGACGGTACCTCCCACTCTCTAGTGCCTTCTCCTATTCCCCTCATCCAATTTGCCACCATGATCACCTGCCTTGTGTCTCTATGAGCACCATAACAACCCCTTCCTCTTAACTGTAAACACAAACACTAGTCTTTACATATACTTTCCTGAACAATCAGTTCATACCCTCCAACAATATAACTGCTGGATCTACAACTGGACCCAAGGAATACACCAAGATATTGTCATAAAAGATAATTCATACATTTAACACACTTTACAGCTTTAACATAATATTGTCAGAGATCCTTTTTCAAATCTGTTTTCCTGGCCAATGTCATGTATGTGGAGAACTTGGTTATGAGTCAGCCTACAAAGTCCCCTTGTACTTGTTTTCCTCCTTTTTCCTTTCATAATAAAATGTTTTTCTAAGCTGTTTAGGTCAGTATGTGCCCTACTCTCTAAAAGTCTTCTCTACTGTTTGATCCATGCAAAAACTCCAAATAATTAAACTCAAAACCAATATCAAGACATCAGAGGATCAATGGTAATATAGCTTTGGGGTTTCTATGAAATAATGTGTTGATATAGTTTGGAGGATCTGGATAGGGGGTCACTTAGTTACCCTTTTTAAGCAGCTAAGTAAGTCTGTATTCTAACCACTTCTCTTATCTGACTCTCAAACTCTGGGCCACTATGGACCCACCTGAACTGTCTCAGGACCAGGCCAGATTAGACATTATTTAACTAAGGATATCCCCTAACCCGAGAGCACAAAAACTTGTTTAAATCAGACAATCGACAGTCTGCAGGGAGCCTGTGAAACCTAGTTAACTTTACCCACTTCCCAAACACAAAGTGCCCATGAGGCTGTAGCGTGCTGTTATCCTGTCCCCAGGTACAGCTCTCTAGATGGCCCTACCAGGAAGCCTTC